ACATAATAACATACAAAATTAAAAGTTGAAGAGTAAATGAAAATTTATTGTGATTGATAAACTAAAAAAAGTAAATGAAATTTTCTGTACTTGAAATGGACAAATGGTTCGGCAAAATATTGAACACACACATATTAACATTAAGATGTCAATATTCTATTTAATTATTCGATTTTGTTTTCTTTAATCAATTATTAGAAAAATATAAACTATGCATATTAGTCTCAAACTTTTAAAATGCAAGCTAACGATTTATACTAAACTTTTAAATATCTGTTTTATCTTCTGAAACTTTCATTTTGAATTTTAGTTTTTTACTGTAAGTTTTAAACCATGATATTATTCTTTGTCTGCAAGTAACAAATTAATCGTTGCCGCATCATTGCACGAATACCCCACTAGCAACAAACTTTTATTTTAATCAAAAATAACAACATACATTATATATATATATATATATATATATATATATATATATATATATATATATATATATATATATAATAGGGTTAGGTTCATTTGAGACCACCTATATTTTGTGAGACCGCGAGACGCATTTTTTTATTTATTTTTATTTTTTTTTATTTATTTTTATTTTTTTTTAGTTAATTCATGTTCCGAAAATAATATTTAAAAAAAGAATTTTTTGATTTTTTCATTTATTTTGCATTTTAAAATTATTTTTAGAATATGTACAGTGTAATATTGTATTTAGAATATTTCACGTATTTTTCAAAAAAAAAATAGAATTTTTTTTTTTTTTTTTAGTTAATTCAAGTTCCAAAAATAATATTTAAAAAAAGAATTTTTTGATTTTTCCATTTATTTTGCATTTTAAAATTATTTTTTAGAATATGTCAGTGTAATATTCTATTTAGAATATTTCACGTATTCTTCAAAAAAAAAAAACGGAATTTTTTATTTTATTTTATTTTTTTTTATTTTTTTTATATTTTTTATATTTTTTTTAATTAATTCAAGTTCCGAAAATAATATTTAAAAAAAGAATTTTTGGATTTTTCCATTTATTTTGCACTTTAAAATTATTTTTAGATTTGGTTTCACGGTCTCACAAAATTAGAATGATCTCAAATGAACCTGAACATATATATATATATATATATATATATATGATAAATGATATATTGTCGGTACATTGCATGTTCTTTTATTTAATATGTCATGTTTGCAATGGAAACTATATGTTGACTCATTGCACGGTCATCGTAATATGTCATGTTTTCGAAAGAAAATAATCACAAAAACGAAACTATTCTAAAAGAAACTACTCATCGCACCCTTATTCAATGTGTGTTGCTAAATTGAAACTAAACATTGTCTTCCGAAAAAATAAAGATGTAAATTAAGTCTGTATCAACAGGTTTCATTGTGGTTTTGGTATACATTAAAGAAATTGTTGAATTGATACTAATGTTTGGCCCTATGGTCCAAATCAGTGAATTGAAATTGATATTTGTTGATACCTGTCAATATATTGCGTCTTATTTTTAATATGACATGTTTCCTAAAACAAAATAATCGTCGAAGTGAAAGTAATGATTGTCCACCGAAAAGAAACTAATTGCCGAATCATACATGTTTCCGAATAGAAATAAATGTCGGAACAAACTGTTTGCATCCGTTGTTTGGTGCGGGTAAACGGATAGTGTGTGTGTGTGTATATATATATATATATATATATATATATATATATATATATATATATATATATATATATATATATATATATATATATAAGGTTAGGATTAAATGTGAAACCTAAGTATATTGTGATTGTATGACTAAATATGAGTAGTTGGATTAAATAATCAAATGGCCAAGAATAGATGTGAAATTAATTACTTTGTAAGAAATTATTTGAATAATTTATTGTTAAAAACGTTCGCAATGGCAATTGTGACAATCTGCAAGGATTTAAATTAGGAAGTGTCGAATAATTTGGGTGTACTTCCTTTTTTTCTCATTCAGATTATTCGGAAAAGTTGGTTATCATATGATAATATGAAGTTACGATTACTCCAAGAATCATGAAACATGTACAAATCGGATTATCCTCCACCGCATTCTTGTTAACCTAAATCAAATAATAATTATTTCCTTAGAAAACGAGAAGAATATTGACGATAATCAAGAATCAGGGAGAATTTTTAAAACAATTTTCACAAATATATCTGATGCGTCGTAAGTGGACGTAAGGGGACGAAGACGATGATATCGTACCCCACAACTAGGTTCGTTATTTGTTGCGTTCTTAATGAATTGAACAGTAACAATTTAGTAATTGGTAAGGTTATCATATTTCTAGGTTTTTAGAATAAGATGTTAAAGATTCCTTAAAAATGCATACATAAAATTGCCCTAACTAATACTAACCAATGCTTATTCTCAAAGAATATGTATTTTGAAAAATATGATTTTTAAACATGTGATTCTTTAGGATCATAGGTTTTGGTTTTTACAGATGGAAACTTAGCATTCTTTATGAAAACGAAAAGCATAATCAAAGATGCCTTAATTAAAAAAAACATACATTCTTGATTATTTTCATGCTTAAAGAATCATAATAATTCTGAAGGTGTGTAGGATTTATAAAGTTTGATGATTAAAGAATAATATACTTAGTTTCATGCTTAAAGACTGATTTGTTTAGTAAACCTTTTTTCAACTTTTATATATAAACATAAATAAAATTAGCTTTGTAACCTTTTATATATAGATAATCAAAAATCACAATAAGTTTCATGCTTAAAGAACACTTACTTTTGTATACTTTTGTGTTATGTTTTTATAATATATATATGAAGTGTGATACAAATTTAATGGTATATGTGCTATCATGTATCATGCTTAATTAATTTTTTTTATACTTGTTCTTTCTGATAGCTGATAGTAATAACTATACTTGATGTGTTTGGTCGAGTGAAACGTAAATAGATAATTTGAGTCTATATATAGAATGATACATCGTTTAGTGATATGATTTAATATTATTTTATATGTACCACTTGTAAATATGTTATACATGCAGAATGTCTAATTTATTGTATTTTGATATTTATTGCAGAAAATGTTATTTGGTAACTACTTGATGTCACCAATTCATCAAAAGCAAGCTGCATTAAGGGGAAAACAAGCTCCTGTTAAGAAAGTGGTTTGGGAAGTTGCCAATGTTGGGGCTGATTGTAGCATGTAGCTTACGAGGCTACATGAAAAGCCACATGGGAGGGGATAAGAGAAATGAGAGTCAGGATTTACATAAGAGAAATTAAATTGATTCTTATTTTTTATGCCTAAAAATATTCCTATCCAATAAAATTATGACAAGTGTCATCTTTCCATATTTTTTAAACTAAATCATTAAGACTATATTAATAATATATCAAATAAAATTAAATTGAATGGTGATTTATCATAATTTCGTGGGTAGGAATAATTGTAGGAATAAAAGGTAGGAGACAATTTAATTTCTCTTTACATAAAGAAAGAAAAATGAATCTAACATATTAATGAGGCTAAGATCTAAATACATGTACAAACTGGTGATTATATTCTTGTATCACCATTATCAAAATGTGAAATTGTTTTGATTCTATATGTGTTGTTGATTCTTATGATTGTAACCATGTTTTAAATATACGATCCCACCTCTTTCATATATAGTTATGAAAGAACAAATAATATAAGTTGTTATGATTATTTATGTAACACGATTACTTATTGTCCTTATTTTGGCTTATGAAATATAAATGTGAGATACATAATGAATGGTAAAGAAAATTTAAAAAAAAAATACAATTTGTCTTTTCCCTGCATGTAAATGTATTGGTGAATACCAAAAGTAATTAAGTGTTAATACTGGTTTAATTGATTTTCTATCATAATCATTTCAAAAAAAAAATAGTGCACATGATTCTGATAGATTGCTATCTGTATATGCATGTACTGACGAATGGTTGTGAAAGACCATCATCTTTAATTGACCCTACCTTGAAATTATATAAGCTGATTCTTTAAGAATAGTAATTTTGACAGAATGAATGCTATTGAATGAATACTATTTGTGATTGACTTGTCTGTAAACCTGTTGGTTTATAAAGTTTTACGTGATATTGAATGAATGCTATTTGTGTACAAAAACATACATGAATACGATTCGGAAGTAAAGATATTTTTGTTAGCAATATAATAATTAAAGATGTTGGTTAGTTATTATTATTGTTTTATTACAAATGTTGAGTACTCATGATTCTTGCAGAATGGATTGTTAGATTGCATGAAAATTTCAATCAAAGTAAAAACTGATTTGAAAAGAATATATAAAAAACAAAATATTGAAGACAGTTGTGTTGATAATAACATGCATAACTCGTAAAACAAAAATATAAAATAAAAGGAAAACCATTAAATGCTAAACTGATTTGCATCTTTGTTTCAAGTGTTACAAGTCCTTCGATACTAAAATTACCCAGTTTCTCGTTTTCCAAAACCATCTTCTCATTCCATGGTTTCTCGTTGATCATGAAACTCTTTGAACAACTTTCCCCACTCTCACACTCTACATTTGAACAACTTTCCCCACTCTCACACTCTACAGTGGAGCAATATCCCACTAAATGTAAAAAGAAAATAGTAAGAATATTCTAAAGGGAAAATGACGTATAGGCTCTATAATGTTTCTAGGATTGACCCATTTAGCCACTTAACTTATTTTGTGGCTTAATAAGGGAACAAATTACTCTTTGTCGGGTCGATTAAGTCCTTATTTCAATTTAGAAGGGGTTAGCCGGTCATTTTAAGTCCACATCCTTCTACTAACACCACATCGTATGCTGACTGTGACTTTCGTCTAATGCCATGTCATTAATTAGTCGCCTCCTTCATAACGTCGGTATATGCTTTATAAAAGAGCCCTTTTACATTTACTATTCAACACTTCATCGGTAAACCCTTTTTTGTGAGCTGCTTCTGAATCCTCAAGCATGAAACCCGTATTCTTACAAGTAGATGTCCACTTCCAAGGAATGTTCGCCAGAAACCCCATACGCTACACCAGTGGAATTACTCAGAGGTTTTCGGACATCGATTTCGCAGGAATGGACAAGGATGGGTGTGTTGCATTCATCGAAAGGTTCAGTGGGGAAAAGTGTGAGAAGCTCTATTACTGCCAACCTGATATTGATTTTCCAAAAGGTTTGACTCTAATTTGCAATGACCCCGATTATTACGACTTCATTGAAATTACATATGAATGTGGTGTTATACTCCCTATGTATGTAGACCACTTTAGTGATAGTAACATACATGAATGGTTGAATGAACACAAAGACGAGTTTGTTGGCAACGTTGAGGAAGAAGTACTTGATGGTGCAGAACTGGTTAAGGAATTTGCACCAGGGTATCGGGATATGGGTGACACAAACGATGAGGTAGAGAATGGCGACGATGATGACGACGAGGATGAGGATGTCGATGGCGATGAGGATGACCATCCGAAGCCTCAGTTTTTTATAAAGGGTAATGAGATTCAGGTAGAGATGGGTGAGAAAGCAGGTGCAGGTGAGTTTTTCGAAGAAGACATGGGTGACAATGAAGATGTTTATCCCGAATTGCCAAACATTTTCAATGATAAGCTCAATTGGAAGGAACAGGAACTTGTTTTAGGTATGAGGTTTGAGAGTCCTAAGCAATTGAAACACATGCTTTGTAACTATGATGTCGCGAATGGTTATCAATTATGTTTTGTTAAGAATGATACTAGACGATTACTTGTCAAATGCTGTGATGGAAAATGTACTTTTAGGCTTTAGGGTTCTTGGATGAGTGAAGACAAGTCTTTCCAGATAAAATCTCTTATCGGTGAGCATAATTGTGCAAAGAATTTCAAATTTGGATCAATTGTGACTTACAAATGGATAGGGACCCACTTTAAGCACTAATTTTATAACAATCAAAAGATCAGCGTCTGAATGCTTAGAGAGGAGGTAAAAACAGATTTTGGGATTAACTTGAGTATGAGTCAGTGTAGGAGAACCAAGAAGTATGCATTGAGTCTAGTTGAAGGGACAATAGCTGAGAATTATGCAAAATTATGGTCATATGGTGAGGAGATTAGAAGATCAAATCCTGGATCCACAGTTAAAATTTGTGTTGATTCAATGCCTGATGGTAAGAATTATTTCAGCAAAATATACATATGTTTTGCTTCAGTAAAAGAGGGATGAAGGGGAGGATGTAAGAGGATCATTAACCTGGATGGTTGTTTTCTGAAAACTTTTTGTCAAGGGGAGTTGCTTTGTGTTGTGGGTAGAGATGCTTACAATGGAATATTCCCAATTGCTTGGGCAGTTGTTTCTGTGGAAAACAAAGAGAATTGGAAATGGTTCTTAGAAACTCTTTCAGAAGATTTGCAATGTTGGAATGATGGTAACGGTTTGGTTCTAATTTCGGATACACACAAGGTATGGTTCAAAACTATTGCATGTTCTAAATTTAGTTATTGCTATTCGAATTTGAAATATTAATGTGACTTATGTAGGGTTTGATTGAGGCAATAAAGGAAGTATTTCCAGCAGCTGAACATAGGCAGTGTGCTAGACATATCTATGTGAATTTTAGAAAGACATTTAGTGGATCCAAGTTTGAAAATCTGTTATGGAAAGCGAGCAAGGCAACAATTGAAGCACAATTTAATGTAGTTATGAAAGAGATTGGAAAATTAAATCCGGAAGCAGTTGTGCATCTTATGGCTAGAGATCCAAAGACTTGGTCTTTGGCTTTTTTTAGAGTTCATAATTCTTGTGAGTCAGTAGAGAATGGTTTTTCAGAGAGTTTTAATAGTGTGATTTTGGATGCCCGGAAGAAACCAATAATAAGCATGTTAGAGGACATTCGTATATATGTGATGCAAAGGATGGTGGCTATGAAACTAACCGGACAAGGATGGAATGCTTATTCTGTTTGTCCAAATATCAGAATATGGTTGAATATGCTCCAAACTTAGCAAAGGTTTGTACATTTATCCAATTACATTTGTACTTTACTCTTCTCATCTCCTGATATTTGCGGTTTTCATCTATATGTGTAGGCATTGGCATGTCATTTCTTGTGGGGGGATGAAGTTTGAGGCAAGGAAAATGGACGAGGCGTTTACTGTGGATGTTGAAAAAAAGGAATGCAGCTGCAGGCTATGGCAACTTAATGGATATGGCTGCGTACACTCAGTTGCCACCTTAGCCTACTTAAATTTGACACCTGACGGTCCATATGTAGATCCAATGTACTTGGCTGCATTATACCATAATACTTACAAACAGCCAATCCATGGGATGAATGGACAAAATATGTGGCCTTCTACTGACTTAATACCCCCTTTGCCTCCATTGAAAAGACGTATGCTAGGAAGGCCAACCATAAAGAGAAGAAGAGATGCTTCTGAACGGATGGGAAAACATATCGTCTGTAAGGCAGGGAAGAAAGTTTCTTGCAGCATATACAAGGAGAAAGTGTTGGGTTTTGAGCAATCTAACACTTCCTAAGTGTACATGCAACCCTAATAAACCTTGGATCTATGTTTGTCTAAATACATGCAAAATAATAATTTTCCAAGGTTCATAACCTATCTAACATGGCATGGGGTACTTTTAAACATAAAAGAATTAGATAAGATTACATACCTTTTAATGAGATTGATTCCTTGGAGTTTGAGAGCCAAGCACCAATGTTGTGAATGCCTCAAATGGAAATCACAAATCACCAAAAACACTTGGAAAAGTTTCAGAAAGTGTATACACACTTATAATTTCGGCCACACACAAACACACACACTAGTGGCTATTTCATGCAACATAAGCATGCTTATATAGTGTGCATGGTTAGGGTGAAACCCTAATAACCCATGACCTTTCCTTTTCCAAGGATCCATGGGTTAAAAGCTCCATGGATCATCCATGGACTTCCATATAAGCCTAGCCCATTAACAAATGAGTGTTAGCCCACACCATATAAAACCAATAGCCCACAATCTAATTAGTCTTCCTTTTAATCTCTAAATTAATTCATCATTAATTTAAGACTAAGACTAATTAAATAACTTCATATTAGTATATTATAACTTACAATATATTAATAAACATATGTGTATAACTCTCATAAAATTATCCATAAATAGTTCGGGTGAAGTGCAACCCAAATGGACCATGTCGGGTCGGGTCAAGTATATATCAAATAAGTTATGGACTTAGACACCTTATCCAACAGACTCCCACTTGGATAAGTCTAATAACTGTATTTGCCTATATTACTTCAGGAACCAACCAACAATCGTAGCTCTCGAAAACTCTGTTGAACTATGAAGCGCCATTTTAAGACAAGTGATCTATAATCCTCTGTTCTCATGATATCAGCCGGACAAACACATGGAACTATGTCTTGCTTATTGTCTGGCAGTTGTTTCTCGATTTCCGATTTTTTTGACAAAGAACTTAACTGAACACATCAATTTAGTTTTGACCGGGCCCGGTACATGGGTCAACACAAAATTATCGAGGGGCCCAGATATCGCTTCTATTTCTAGAAGGAACAGATAAACTTCGACTCATATGCTTGTTCTAATACTTGTTGAATTGTACACAAAGGCACGTTTTATAACATCAAGTTACTGATGCGTTTACGTGCAATCAATGCACAACCAACTCATAGGTAACAACTCATATCTCTAGGTTTGAAGACTTATATGATATTATCGTCTCACGATCACTCGAGATAAATTCCATGAAGTGATACAAGTGAGCGTGGGTTTATTCCAATACTCATAACTTATGAGTACTCATGAATGTTGTAGCAACCATTGCCATGTCTAAACACCTTTAGCCATCTACAAAACCAATTCATGACAATCTTGATTCATACCTACTTCCGACGTATGACCGATTGTGGAGGTTTGAATAAATTAATTATTCTGGAAGTCAAAACATAAAACTGAAACAATAGTAAATAACTGACAATGATAGTAACACTTTACTCATAAATAAATCAAAAATTTTATTTATCATCAAACGTCGATTACATTTTACAAGTTTCAGAAAAAGCTATCTAATCTGTAAATCTAATATCGTCCCTCAGCCCGATGCGCCTCGCATGCTGAAAATGCTTAACCCTTGTCAGTCCCTTGTAAGGGGATCAGGTTCTCATCTGACGATATCCTCTTTGCCACGAGGAGTCCTTCTTCAATCTTGTGTCTTATGAAGTGATATTTTCTGTCAATGTATCGGGATCTGCCATGATCTCTTGGTTCCTTGGCTAAGGCAACCGCACTTTTGCTGTCACAGAAAATCTCCATAGGCTCCTTAATAGCTGGCACAACTCCAAGGTCTCCAATGAAGTTCTTCAGCCATATCGCTTCCTTCGCTGCTATATACTCTGATTCACAAGTCGAATTAGCCACCGTCTCCTGCTTGGAACTCTTCCAAGAGATTGCCCCTCCATTTAAGGTAAAGACCTAGCCCGACTGAGAGCGAAAGTTATCCCTATTAGTTTGAAAACTAGCATCACTATACCCTAATACTCTCAAGTCATCACTCCCACCAAGGGTAAGGATCCAATCCTTAGTCCTCCGCAGGTACTTGAGAATGTTCTTTACCGCGGTCCAATGAGCCTTGCCAGGGTTCCCCTGATACCTGCTGACCATGCTCAAAGCAAAGGCCACATCAGGGCGGGTACAAGTCATAGCATACATGATCGAGCCAACAACAGAAGCATACGGTAATTGGCTCATCTCAGCTATCTCTGCCTCTGTACTCGGACTCTGAGTCTTACTCAGTTTGGCATTGCTTTGGATCGGTAAATCTCCTTTCTTGGAATTCTGCATGTTGAACCTTTTCAACACCTTATCCAAGTAGTTACTCTGACTAAGTCCAATTAGTCTTTTATTCCTTTCTCTTAATATCCTTATCCCTAGGATATAAGCAGCTTCCCCTAGGTCCTTCATAGCAAAGCACTTCCCAAGCCAGGACTTAACCTCCTGCAAGGTTGGGATGTCATTTCCTATAAGTAGTATGTCATCTACATATAGTACCAAGAAGCTAACTATACTCCCACTAGCTCTGACATACACGCAAGACTCATCTTCACTTCTCGAGAAGCCAAACTCTTTGACCTTCTCATCGAAACAAAGATTCCAGCTACGAGATGCTTGTTTTAATCCATAAATGGATTTCTCAAGCTTGCAAACTCTATTAGGGCACTCAGCGTTGACAAAACCCTCTGGCTGATTCATGTACACATCCTCAGCCAACTTTCCATTAAGAAAAGCAGTTTTGACATCCATTTGCCATATTTCATAATCATGAAATGCAGCAATGGCTAGCATAACCCTAATAGACTTAATCTTTGCTACCGGCGAAAAGGTTTCATCATAATCAATACCTTGAGTCTGAGTAAAACCCTTCACAACCAGTCGAGCCTTATAAGTATGCACTTTTCCTTCCATGTCGGTCATCTTCTTGAAGATCCATTTGCACCCGATTGTTTTACGGCCTGGTACATTGTCAACCAAGTTCCAAACTTGATTGTCATACATGGACTGTATCTCGTTGTCCATAGCCTCCTTCCATTTAGCAGAATCCGAGCCTGCCATGGCTTCCTTAACACTGCTAGGTTCATCCAAATTTACCAGTGTACTATCGCTGATAAACGTATCACCTTCCGTAGTAATATGAACGCCATAATAAAACGAAGGTGTGTTCCTAACCCGTATGGAATGCCTCGGAGGTACAGACTTGTCAGCTTGCTCGACAGGAGTTTCCTCCTC